GTAGGTCTATTTCTAGAAGAACAATCTGAGAAGCATGAAACTTCTTAATTTTTCTCTCCATTAAATCTCATTGCTGAGAAACAATTTAGATAAAGAGATATCATACGCCGTAATTGTCACAGTTCGCTGTTTAGGAAGCACGCAGGAGGCACAAATAAACGAAAACAGTATGGAACACAGGGAACACAGGGTACATCCACACTGGAAATGGCAGGAAACACACAAACATAACGAGTAGAAACAGAACGCATGAGCCAACACATGTAGAGAACGAGTAGACCTGACAAACACAAACTGAACAGACTAGGACTTTTAAACACTGGATAATGAGGGACAAAATAGACACAGCTGGAAACAAATGAACACAAGTAACATGAGGAAAAACTGGGTCACGGGGAGCAAAACACACACAGATAGTAGAACAACGAACAACAGAGGGGGGGAAATGGGTGGGAACTAAGGAGGAGGCTCAGGAGGAGGACGGATAGGGGACCGGGGAGGAAACAGGAGGGGCCCGGAGCAGGAGGAGCCCAGCTGGACCCCGGCCAAAGCTATAATGTCGACCCACGGTGTAGCCGATGGAGGGAGGAGCCATGGAGGAGGAATGGCCGCTGACTCCAGGGGGCCGACCAATGGCGGCGGAGCAGGTATTGGAGGAGACAAGGCGGAGAGCCAACGAGCCAGGGGGATGCCGAGGATCCGGGGGGCCAGGGTGGAGCCGAGGGCTCTGGCGACCGAGGCGGAGGTGGAGATCCAGAGATCCGCGGCGGAGCCGAAGCGACTGAGGACCAAGGTGGAGCTGGCGGGAGGAAGGAGCTCAACGGAGATGGGTGACGGTGGAGGCGAGGGAGCTAAGAGCCGAGGTGGAGCCGCTGGGTCTACGGTCCGAGGCGGAGTCCGGGCCTCGGAGGCTGGAGACGGAGGTGAGGGATTCTCCAGCCATGGCGACGCTGGAGGATGGCAGACCCGCGGAGCTCACACCGTAATGATGGTGGGCTGAGGGCGAGCAGAGGGGCTGCCAGATGACAGCGGTGGAGCAGGCAGGAGCGGGTGGGAGGGTGGTCATTTGTGAGCCTCCGGGCATTCAGGGCTAAACTCTGGATCAGGAGCCCTCTCTAGGCTGAAGAGAACAGGATGGCGCTCTGGAGGAGCGGACACTTAAGGGCGCTTTCGAGGAGCGGGCACTGGAGGGCGCTCTGGACTGGATTTGGGGACTGGAGCCCTCTCCTCTTCGGTGTGGCACATTCGCCGCGCCATTCACCAGCTCACCCTCAGCCGCGGTGATGGGGGCAGAGCTCCTCTCCGCGCTCACACCATCCACGACTTTTTCCCTCATGGCGGGCATTGTCTCCGGCTCTCGCACCTGGTCTGACGGGTTGAGCTCCACGTCCGGGGCAATCCACGGCTCAGTCGCTCGGCTTGGCTCTGGCTCGTCGATCGCGGCGGGAATTGGCTGTCCGTCATCGGTGGGCTCGGGCTGATGCTCCGCACCGTGGGGAAATGGTGGGCTGGGCACTGGGTCTGGAGTAGATCTGACGAGATCATCCACGGGGCAGGTGGTGGATGGTGATCCATTTCTCGCCAGAGTCCACTCCACGAAGGCGACGAAATCCTCTCGAGGACCATCCTCGGACGACGGCGCTACGCGTCGTCCGGGTAGCTGGTGGTGCTAGCTAACAGTCGGAACAGTCTTGTATGGTCCTCGAGAGATCAGTCCCCCTGCTCCAGCAGGAGGAGGAGGAATTCCGGGTGGGTGAAGGGATCCATGAGGGGAACTACGGAAACAAAAAACACTGTACAAAACGAAAAACAAAAACGGAGGGTAGGCACGGAGGTAATGGTTTTGGTCGGTTCTTCTGTCACAGTTCGCTGTTTAGGAAGCACGCAGGAGGCACAAATAAACTAAAACAGTCTTTAATCAATGGAACACAGGGTACATCCACACTGGAAATGGCAGGAAACACACAAACAATAACGAGTAGAACCGACAAACACAGAACGCAAAAGCAAGGACTTAAATACTGGGGATAATTAACAAACACAGGTGCCAGGAATCATAATTAACCTAAACGAGGACAGGAAAAAGACCATGTGAGGAAAACCAGGAACAAAGACAGGGACAAAAACACAACAAAACAGGTCCATGATCTTGACAGTCACAATGACTTTATGAACGATTAACACAAAAAGTTATTCTGATTGTGTTTCATGAATGAGACCTATAGAGTGTAAGTAATATATAGCTCAGCAAAATGCGGATTCGGACCCGGGTCGATCACGTCAAATGAATGAAATGCGTCTTTTTAAAATCTTGTTTTAACCAGACATTGGTGGGTGGAGCTAATGTAAATAGCGCTTGCCAACAAGCGCGCTATTTGCACTTAATGTAAAGCCCCACAAATACAATAATGAGTTAATTCAGTGAAAGATTGGTCAAACTGAATCATTAAAAGAAGCTGCTTAAATTATTCATTTGTGAACCAGAAAGCACTTGATTGTTTTTGTTAGGACAGGATGTGTGCAGTGTTTTTATCTCATCAAATTCAGACTGCAAATTTACATTCACAAATCAGGACAATATGGCTTTTTTTGTGGTGCTAGAGATTCAACGTCACAGCTTACATTGACATAATCGTGACAGCAACTGTACTAAAAAATGTACAATACTGCCCATCTCTAATTAACATTAGCATAAGTAAAATCTAAAGCGTTACCAGAGCACCAAATGCGAAACATGTTGGGGTAGCTTGTGCCGGTCTCGGTCTGGTCAAAGAACTCAAACAGACATGAAAAGCGCATCAGTCAATTGAAATGCATCTAGCCTCTCTTTCATTTTCAGTGATAAAATGATATTGAAATCAACTGATAACAAACTAAAGCAGCAGTGTAGCTCATTTGCTTCTTTAGAAATAAACATTTAGTATTATCGGTTCTTTAAAACTGATAAATATTATAAAACATTCACTATGGTTTAACTTCAGTGATAATACAGATAGCTGACAGCTCCTCACATTAAGTTCACTAAATGCCCTCATCTGCACAGTTACATCGCCCATGTTATTAATATAAAACAGGGGTCACCAAACTTGATCCTGGAGGGCCGGTCCTGCAGAGTTTAGCTCCAACTTGCTTCAACACGCCTGCCTGGAAGTTTCAAGTATATTTAGTAAGACCTTGATTATCTGGTTCAGGTGTGTTTAGTTAGGGCTGGAGCTAAACTCTTGTAGTATTCTCTCAAATAAATTAATACTCAGAACAGACAGACATGGACACGTTTCTTCCATGAACTCATTTTTACTCTACTCTCCTTTTCCTTTAGGCCCAGCATCAGAACAAGCCTACAACGCCATCTACTGGACAGAACATATTCCCCCTTTTGTGAGAAGAAATGCTACAACTTCCACAATAAGTAATAACATAATACAACAGCATCATTTAACAAATTTAAATACTACTGGAATTCTCCCCCTTTTTTTATTTACTCTTACTGTTTTTGCCTTTAATGTGAACTAGGCAATTGTCTTCTTTTTTTTCTTACTTCTCAAGCCACATAGTCCTTCAACCATATCGGACTCCTCTTCATCCTCACACTCCTTGGGCATTTAGTTGGATCTGCTAGAGTCCTTGAAGGAATCCTCCGTTACCTTTCCAGCACACTGCGTTCCAACGTCTCCCATCACTGAGAAGGTAAGTACTTGCTCCTGTTTGTTTATTCACTGTGAGAGGTTGTGAGAATTTTGAGTCTGGTTTCTTTACAAGGAATGGTTTTCTCACTCGCACTTTATCTCCTTGCCGAAAGGAAGGAATTTTCGCGCTACGTTTGGCATCCGTGTAAACCTTGCTTTTCTCTTGCTTGGCTTTGACATACTGCCTAATGGCAGAATCCCGTGTGGTCTGTATAGGAAGGATATGCAGTTTTGTGCGCATTTGTCTCCCTTTCATCAATTCGAAAGGAGTTTTGTTAGTAGTTGCATGTGGTGACGCTCTGTAGACGTGTAAGAATGCAGTTACTTCTTGCTTCCAAGGCTTGTGCAACTGCGCAGCAGTTTGGATGCAATTCTTGAGGACTCTATTAAAACGTTCAACAGCACCATTTGCTTGAGCATGATACACACTAGTGCGAATGTGTGTAATGCCATTGTCCTTCAAGAAATCCTGGAACGTTGAGGAGCAGAACTGACTGCCATTGTCAGTCACTATGTATGCAGGGTTACCTTCTCGAGCGAACACTGAAGTTAGAAATGTCACTAATGTAGCTGTGGTGACAGATGGAGTGAAAGCCACCTCAGGCCATTTACTGTAGTAGTCCAGTAGTGTAATGGCATAACGACAGTCATGTGTAGCCGTGTCGAATGGTCCTACCATGTCAACAGCTACTTTTTGAAAAGGCCCTTGCGGCAATTCCACTGGCTGCATCGAAGCTGCATGTGTGCGTGCTGACTTATCATTCATTTGACAAGCAGTACATGTTTTTATGAGGCCACTGACCATCGCGTCCATGTGCGGCCACCAATACAGCTCGCGTAGCCGTTGTTTCGTTCGCACATGGACGCGATGGTCAGTGGCCTCATAAAAACATGTACTGCTTGTCAAATGAATGATAAGTCAGCACGCACACATGCAGCTCCGATGCAGCCAGTGGAATTGCCGCAAGGGCCTTTTCAAAAAGTAGCTGTTGACGTGGTAGGACCATTCGACACGGCTACACATGACTGTCGTTATGCCATTACACTACTGGACTACTACAGTAAATGGCCTGAGGTGGCTTTCACTCCATTTGTCACCACAGCTACATTAGTGACATTTCTAACGTCAGGAAGTGCAGTGGCATCTCTAGGAGCAGGTGCACTTGTGATAGCAGCCATGTGATCCATACTAGGGCGCAAGCCTTCAGCTGAAATAGTGTGGCCCAAGTATGACACACTCTGCTGGGCGAATGTACTTTTGTTGAGGTTCAATTTCAGGTTCGCATTCTCGAGGCGCTGTAAGACAGCCTTCAGACATTTGTCATGTTTCTCCTTGGTTTCGCCATAACAGATTATATCATCAAGATAGCATTGGCAACCTGGCAGATCTCCTAAGAATGTGTGCATAATTTTTTGAAATGCAGCAGGTGCCGAAGCGAGACCATAAGGGACCCGCGTAAATTGGTACAGTCCCTCGTGACATAGAAACGCAGTCAGGTTTGTGCTTTCCACAGCTAGAGGCAACTGATGATAAGCACTCTGTAAGTCAATCTGCGAAAATACTGTAGGACCCTTCAACTCCGCAAACAGCTCTTCCATATGTGGTAGTGGGTGTGAATTCACAATAATACTTTTATTTGGCTCGCGTAAATCCACACACATACGAATTCCTCCTTGTTTCTTTTTCGTCACCACTAATGGTGAAACCCAGGGGCTCGCATCTATGGGCTCTATGATTCCAGCTTTTAGCAGCCGTTGGATCTCATTTGACACATCCTGGCGAACGCACAGTGGAAGCCGGCGAACTTTTTGCTGCACAGGTTTAATGGTGTTGTCCACTTGCACCTTATGTATGAATCCTTTTACACACTCGCCTTGCACATTTAAATGTTTATCCGCACAATTGAGCACCCTAGTTGTTGCTTGAATGGCATGCATTTAAGTACTGTGCATATCAGTGACATCTTCAGATGCTACATGATAGTTCAGTGCTCTGATTAGATCCAGTCCCAAGAGAGGTGCCCCTCTCTCTACAATGTAGAAATTTGCGTCAGCTATAATGGCATTATGAGTCACTGTAGCAGTCATACAACCCAGTACAGGCAAGGGCTGTTTAGAATAAGTGACCAGTTGGGCTTTGGGCAGAAGCAAAGGAGTAGATGTGAAATGATCCTCGTACAAGGATTGTGAAAGGATTGACACGCTTGAACCTGTATCCACTAACAGTTTCACTTTGTGCGCACAGCCTTGTGATGTTGCTATTTCAACTACACAGTAAATTTTATAATCCACTGAAGCGTTCAAATTAAGCACTGTCATTTCTGGCACAGAAATTTCTTGCACTGTTTTCGCTTTCGATTGGCATATTTTTGCAAAATGACCACGTTTTTTGCATTTATTACAAATAGCAGATGCAGCAGGACAGTCTCTATCATTAGCTAAGTGATTACGTGATCCACAGCGGTAGCAATGTTGGTTTGGTTTTGGCGCTTTAGAATCTTCGCGTCTCTTTGATTGTTTGGAGCGTGTTTTATGACGTTTCCACTGACTTTTATTCGCCGAAACAGCTTGCACAGCACTCTGTGGTTGGTTTCCACTTGCGTCCTTACCGGAGAAGAGTGAAGCATTTCGCACAGCGGACTCAACTTGACACGCTAAATTCACCGCTTTTTCCAGAGTGAGCTCATCCTCCAGCAATAATCTGTCTCGCACTGCAGGCAGCCACGCTTGTTCCACCAGCTGATCACGCAGCATTTCTTGCTCCATAGCACCGTACTGACACTGGACAGCTAACTCCCGTAGTGCAGAAATGTACTGAGGCACAGTCTCGTCATTTCTTTGTGATCTTTGGCGAAACTTATGTCGGCATGCAACAACGTTCAATTTCAGAACAAAATGTTTTGTAAGCGCTTCCATTGCATGATCAAACGTTGTTCCTGTGTCCTGTAATGTGTAGAAAAGTCTTTGACCTTCGGTGCCCAGGCAATGTAGTAGAGTTGCACGACGCCTT